TGTGAGCTACAGAACATCATCAAAATTTTAAAAAATTAAGAGAAATCAATGGAAAGACATTCTGTGTTTATGGTTTGAAAGACCTGGTACTGTGATTAAGTGGCTAGGGTGTAGCCCAGTGGTAGAGCACTTGCCTAGCATGCTTAAGGTCCTGGATTTGATCCCTAACACCTCCCCCTGAAAAAAATATGAAGATAGCCATACTCCCTAAATTGAGGCTGATTTAGTATAAGCTCAAATTTTTCTTATGTGGACAACCTGGTCCTGAAACTCATGTGGAAATAAATGCAAGGAATGAAAGCTGGGTGGGATGGCACATACCTGCAATCCCAGCAACTCAGAAGGCAGTGGCAGGAGGATCAAAAGTTTGAGGCCAGCCTCAGAAACTTAGTGATGCCCTAAGCAAGGTGATACCGTTTCAAAAAATAAAAAGGATTAGTGATGCAGCTCAGTGGTAAAGCACCTCTGGGTTCAATCCCCAGTACACCCCCCCAAAAAAAATTGTGACCCATAGAATGGGAAAAAAATCCCATAACCATTGAGAGTATAGCATGGGGGGGGGGGGTTGGGGCTGTGGCTCAGTGGCAGAGTGCTTGCCTCGAACATGTGAGGCACTGGGTTCAGTCCTTAGGACCACATACAAATAAATAAACAAACAAAATAAAGATATTGTGTCCATGTATATAACTAAACAAACAAACAAACAAAATGAGTATAGTATCGTCCAGCGTGGTGGTACACACCTGTGATCTCTGTGGCTTGGGAGGCTCAGGCAGGAGGATTGCAAGTTCAAAGCCAGCCTCAGTAACAGCAAGGTACAAAGCAACTCAGTGAGACCCAGTCTCTAAATAAAATACTAAAAAGGGCTGGGGATGTAACTCAGTGGTCAAGTGCCCCTGAATTCAATCCCTGGTACCCCCCAAGAGCCTGGTATCCATAATGTATAGAATTTTTACAATTCAGCAAGTAAGACACATATCCCAATCAAAAGTGGGCAACTGCCAGCTGCAGTGGGACAGGCCTGTAATCCCAGCCCTTGGGAGGCTGAGACAGGAGAATCACAAGTTCAAAGCCAGCCTCAGCAATGGCGAGGCACTAAGCAACTCAGTGAGACCCTGTCTCTAAATAAAATTAAAATAGGGCTGAGGAGGTGGCTCAGTGGTTGAGTGCCCCTGAGTTCAATCTCCAGTACCAAAAAAAAAAGGGCAAGGAATCAAAATAGAAGTTCCCTCCCCCAAGGAAGATATGGAAATGATCAGTAGGCACCTGAAAAGATGCCCGGGTCACTATTCAAGAGGAAAATAGAAATCAAAGCCACAAGGAGATAACAGCTTTCACACTAGGGTACTTAAAAAGGAAAAGGAAAAAGCTATTAGGAAATTCGGAAGCACTGGTGTTGATGTGGAGAAATTGGAATCCTACACTGCTGGTGAGAATGTGAAAGGGTACAGCCACTAAGGAAAGGAGCTTGGTAGTTCTCCAAAAGTTAAAGATGCCAGGTGTCGGGTATAGATGCCACCTGTAAGCCCAGCGACTGGGGAGACTGAGACAGGAGGATCACAAGTTGGAGGCCAGTCACTCAGTGACTTAGTGAGAGCTTGTCTCAAAAAATTAAAAGGGCAGGAGCTGGGCACAGTGGCTCATGCCTGTAATCCCAGTGACTTAAGAGGCTGAGGCAGGAGGATTGAGAATTCAAAGCCAGCCTCAACAACAGAGAGGCTCTAAGCAACTCAGTGAGACCCTGTCTCTAAATAAAATACAAACAACAACAACAACAAAAAAAAAAACAGCTGAGGACATGGCTCAGTGGTTGAGTGCCCCTGAGTTTAGTCCCCAGTACCCAGTACCCCTTCCCTCCACAAAAAGGGCAGGGGACTTAGGCCAATAATAGAGTGTCCCTGAGTTTAATCCTCTGTAACACACACCCATAACCACATACACCACCCGAGTGACTATATTAATTGATTGCATTTCTATGACTCTATCTCCAGAAGAATTGAAAACATGTTTACACAGAAACTTGTATACAGATGTTCATAGCAGTAGCAGTGACTCAAATGTCCATAGATTTATGGAGAAACAAAAGGCTATGTCTACACAAAGGAATATTACTCAGTTATAAAAAGCAGCCAAAGTACTGACACATGCTACAATGTGGATGAAACATGAGAACAAGACACTAAGTATCTTCCCCAGGAGGCCTACACCCACCCGTTTTCTGTTGTCTTTTCTCTAGTGATTCTTGAGAAGTTCCAGCACATCTTGCAAGTACTTAACAGAAATATCCATAGGCATTGGAAAATAGCCTTTGCCATCACTGCTGCTAAGGGTGTGGGGTCAAGATGTGCTCCTGTGTTGAGGAAAGCAGATGTTGACCTCATCAAGAAGGCTGGAGGACTTGCTAAGGATGAGGTTGAATGTGGGATGGCCATTATGCAGGATCCGCGGCAGCACAAGATCCCAGACTGGTTCTTGAATAGACAGAAGGATGTAAAGATGAAAAATACAGCCCAGGTCTGGCCGCATTCTAGACAATAAGCTCCAGGATGATCTGGAGTGACGGGAAGATTAGGGCCCATAGGGAGCTGCATCCCTTCTGGTGCCTTCCTGTCCAAGGCCAACACACCAAGTCCACCTGGCAGTGTACTGTGGGTATGACCAAGAAGAAATGAGTCTGTAGGCCTTTTCTGTTAATAAATGACATATCTAAAAAAAAATACACTAATTAGATTCAATCCTCAGCACCATATAAAAATAAATAAAGGTATTGTGTCTATCTACAACTAAAAATATATATATAAAGAGAGAGAGAGAGAGAGAGAGAGAGAGAGAGAGAGAGAGAGAGAGAGAGAGA